GTACTTGTATTTAGGATATACCGAATACCATACCGAATTTATCACTATTTGGTATTACCAAATACCGGCTTATTTTTTAGGGATTGGTATTCATTTTGTAGTGCTATTCAGTATTCGGGATTACGAGATTGGATTCAGTATATACCGATCGAGATACCGAGAAATACCAAAAATTGAAAATTAATGAAATATAACACACATCCTTTGGTCATTCCTCACTCTTTGACAATTTAAAAGCCTCATCCAACTCAATTTTGACTTTCCAGTTAAAGTCACTCTCGTCTCTCACCTAATATCTTGTTATTTTCATAACACCAAAAAGTAAACAGAGTATTAGTCATCTCGCAACCTCCAATTCATCAGATTAAAGATTACCAATGACAAGAAATTGAGATGTCACATATTTTCATTCTTCTTATCCATATCCTAGCTCTAGACAAACTCAAGACTCTTTGCTCTCAATTAAACAATCAAATATAATTTATATATTTATTATTAATTGCAAAGGTAATTAATTTCGTATTCGGTAATACCGATTGAGATACCAAAGTATCGATTGAGATACCGAAATTATTAGGGATTGAGATTGGGTTACAGAAATTATTTAGGAATTGGGATTGTGATTGATTTTAGAGTGTGTTTGGTATTCAGGATTTCGGTATTTAGTATTGAGATACTGATATCGTACCGATTTCCACCAATAACTGTTACCCTACTCCTATGGAGGTTCCACAAGAGTTTCGCAACTACATCTAAAACTACGACTATGGAGGATTCTTCATGGAGGAGAGCTCCGCAAACTATAAAGAAAAATGAACAGTTGAGACAAGTTATCTATGTGTTGGATTGTGATTGTCTGTCATGTTCCAAGAGCTTTCTTCAAGTTTTGTTGTTGAGAGTCATCCAACTGCTCTCTCCCTCTCTCTCTCATCTTGTTGTGGGCGAATGACGGGAATTGAACCCGCACATGGTGGAGTTAGTTGCGGCCAATAAGGCTCTTTCGACACATGACCACGTCTTAGCTAGCCACCATTTACCAATTCATCATGTCAAATTAGATGAAAACCATGAGACTAGATGGTGCTATCCACTTAGATTCTAGATGTTATCCATGTGGTGGGATGACACCATCCACTAAGGAGTTCAATGGTACCCGCCCATGATATGGAATGATACTATCCATTAAGTGGTTGGATGATATTTATAATATGAGATGTTCACCATCTACTTTGATATTGGATGGTATCCATAGAACTAGACAGATGGAGACAATTATTAATGATCAACTAACTCCTAGCTACTATTCATCAATTATACAATCTAACCAGACAATCTATTATGTATGAGCTCAACATTTTAAAATGGTCGATCATCCATAGTAGTTCATGTGGTATTTTACTCGAGAAATTTATTTTGATGTAAAAAGGAGCCACCTACTGCTATTTGCCAACAACTTTTTTTGGGGTGAAAAACGGGTGCTAGGGGCGCCCTAATCCATATTATTAACTATTCGGGCTTCATGAATCCCGATAATATCATGTTTTATCTAGAAATACAAAAGTGGTTCCGTATGATCGTAATGGGAGCTTCCGAAAGGGATCGAATGTCCCTTAATAGCAAGAAAATCAGCTACATGGTTATGCTCTTTGTAAACATGACTAATCTTGACCTCACCGAAAGTGTCTATCAGATTCTGAAGCTGACGGATAATAGGGGCATGCCCATGCCCATTCTCGACCCGATTCTATAACACTTGCATCGCCGCCAGGGAGTGCATTTGAAGCTCAACTCTAGTAGCTTCCAACCGATGCACTAGGATCATTCCCTCCAGCGCTCCTCTAAGTCCGGCCATCATAATCGTGCATTGGCCATAATTTGACATAAAGTTCCCCAGGTTCCTTTCACTATGGTCTCTCGCAATTCCTCTAGTTGCTGCCATTGATCCAGGGTTGTGCACTCACCCGTTTGTGTTGATGGTGATCCATCTCTCCGCTGGCGGTTGCGAATTCAACATCACTTCCCTCCTCATGATTTCCCGTCGAAGACCGATCTTCTCGTCACTCTTCATCGCCCTCTCCACCGCCTCGGTCCAGTAGCGAACACGGGCCACCGAAGCTGTCCCTTCAGTTTGTTTCCCTGACAAAACAACTTCATTACGACACTTCCAAATCTACGACTTGCTAACATTTTTCAAATTAAAATAACAAAACTCATGACATAAATCCAATGCATAAAAAAAAAAAAAATTCATGATAATCGAAATCTATGACTTGTTCATTGTTTTCAAAATACAAAAATTAGTTATTAGAGGAATTTACAATGTTTTATAGTAGGTGTTTTGGTTTACAAAAAAAATGTACCATTAATGTTATTGCCGAAATTCAATTTGTACTTACATCTTTTTGTAAAAATTCATTTATGGTAAAAGCTGAATAGATACTTTTTATGTTATGGTACAAATTGCACTTGTACCATAATATAAAGATACAATCTTCTTTCATATTACAAACTAAACTTCTACCATTAACATTATAACAAACTAAACTTCTACGGTAGCATAAAGCTATAAATTCATTTATGATACAAGCTGAACTTGTAACTTTAACTTTAGCAGTTTAATTTGTACTTGAAAACATAGATACTTTTATTAATAATAGTAGAGTGAAAATCGGTACGGTATCGGTATCACAATATCAAATCCCGAAATCTCGAATACCGAATTACACTCTAAAGTCAATCCCAATCCCAATCACTAAATAATTTCGGTATCCCAATCCCTAAATATTTCGGTATCCCGATTGGAACTTTGTATCCCAATCGGTATTATCGAATACAAAATTAATTATCTTTGCAATTAATAATTAAATATATAAATTAGATTTGATTGTTTAATTTAGGGCAAATAGACTAAGCAAATAGTCTTGAATTTGCCTAGAGGTATGATATGAATAAGGAGAATGGAGGAGAGATCACACCTGAAATTCTTGTCATTTGTAATCTTTAATTTGTCGAATTGGAGGCTGAGAGACGACTAATACTAGTGTGTTGCCTTTTGGTGTTATGAAAATAACAAGAGATTAGGTAAGAGACGAGAGTGACTTAAACTGGAAAGTCAAATTTGAGTTGGATGGAGGCTTCTAAGTTGTGAAAGAGTGAGAAATGACCAAAGGTTGTGTGCTATATTTTATTCATTTTTAATTTTCGGTGTTTATCGATATTTCGGTATATCCCAATCCCAATTTCGTAATCCTGAATACCAAAATAGCTCTGCTAAGTGAATCTCAATTCCAATTCCTAAAAAATAAGCCTGTATTCGATAATACCAAATAATGATAAATTCGATATGATATTCGGTATATACCAAATACCGGTACCAAACTTCCAGCTCTAAATAATAGTACGGTTAGATAGAATGATTGGTTTATCAGATTCAGCCAATAAGGACCCTAATAAGTGTTTTTTTTTTTGCGCACAATCATTGATTAAAATATAAAGCAAGATAGATATGACATAACTAAAAGTGTTACCGATTAAAATTTCAGCAGACAATGGGCTAGAGTAGGGCTGGCTATTTGGACCGGGACTGGATGAAAAACCGGAAACCGGATCGTATAACCCGGACCGAGATCGGACCGGGACCGGATAGTAAACAATCCAATCCAATCTTTGGGCTTAGATTTGAGGTAAAAAACCGGATAAAGAACGGATAAGAGAGCTCAACACCCAAAACTTAAGGGTAATTTGCATAAACGGTCACAAAACCTTTGCACTTAGTACAAAACTTAACCAACTCCTCACTCTTTTAGGCCTTAGGCCACTCAAATTCCCACAATCTCAATATAAAATCAAGACCGAATTGGGACCGGACCGGATCAAGACCGGACTGTATCCAATCCAATCTTCGGTCCTTATATTTTCAAAAAAACCGGACTGGACCGGATCAATTTGGGCCAATTTAACCGGACCGGACCGTATAGCCACCCCTAGGCCAGAGGCCCAAATAACCATACCCAAAACAAATCAATAAAGAAAACATGCTTAGTTGAGTTCCACGCCCAACAAAACCAAGATTAATGTATCAACATTAATGTTTTTATAAATTAATTAATAACATGTTTGTATATTTTTATGGGAGTCTAAATATTCTTAAAAACAACTTGAAAAAGTTAGGTGAAATGCATCTTTCATGTAGTTTTCCCTAATTATGTATTTTAAGACTGGACAAAACCCGTCAACCCAGGTATATCGTGTTTAAATTTTCGATTGTCAGAAGTCCCATCGTATAAGAGTGGCAAATCGATTTGGACAAACCAATACAGGTAAAATGCTGATATGTTTGTATGGACTTCGGTAATTTAGATAGATCACTGCGATCTTGAGCTATCTACTTCCTACATCATTGAGCTACACGATATCTATTTAGGCCAAAGTTATGTGTGTTGAGCACGTTTAACTTTGACGTTCTCATAAGTACTCCTCAATTTTACTCTAAAACGGGTCTTGTAAGTTAAGATCGATTTCTTACTTATGAACCATCGATATCTCTCGTGTTTTGTCGATATGAGGTTCGCGTAAAGTCTTACACTTTTTAACAATTTTGGTATTTAGCAAAAAACACAAACATCCAAAAACGAAAGGCGTGACAGAGAATTATTGTATGTTAACGTGGATAGACTAATTAACACGAATTATTAACGGACTTAGCTCAAAATCTGAAAGTCTTTAAATATATTTTTAACGAAAGTCTTTATAAATTTTGAAAGACAACTTGAAACGGGAGGTGACATGCATCTTTCATGTAAGTCTTCACTAATTATGTATTTTAAGACTGAGCTAAACAGGTCAACCCTGAATCACCCTCCATGGTCAAGGAATGAACACCTTATAAACTACGCCTCTATTAGTTCCTAATCATTCATATCTGCCAAACCTCTTCGTTCCACATTTGCTTGTTTGGGTTTCCATTTTCTATCTTGAGAGATTCAATTGTGAGTTTGAGGATGGGATTCCCAAAGCATGTTGTGTTGAAGTCCATGTACAACAACAAGTACCTGCGCTGCATCGACGAAGCAGGGAAGCAACAGGGCTTCCTGCAGTTCTCCGGCGACGATGCTGCCAGCGTCGATTCGAGGTTCGAGATCATCACAACATCCAGCGGACTCATTCACCTCAAGTGCTGTTCCAATAACAAGTACTGGCAGAGATCGTCGCCGACCCAGTGGTGGATCCGGTGCGGCCCTGCTGCCAGCCCTGTAAAAACACAATCGAATTGGTCCTGTACGCTGTTCGAGCCCGTCCCTGTGGACGGTCTCGACGGGGCGTTCCGGTTTCGACACGTCGAATTGAAGCAGTACGCCGGCTCGTTCAACAGCGGGCCACCCTTCGGCGACTGCTTGTACGCAGGATCCGAAGATCCCAACGAAGAGGACCTGCGCGATGTCTTCGTGGTCATCGACGCAACGTCGTCCAAGAAACCGCCTAGGAAAAATGTTACCACCACATTGCCGAGCTTTGTAGCAATCAAATCAAGGTACAATCACAAGTACGTCCGGTACAGGGGTGGTCGCGGCGACGAACAAGAGGGTTTCCTCCAGGTTTCGGAGGAAAACCCTGCCGCAATTGGCGGGTATGCGAAATTCGAGGTGGTCAGGGCCAAGAACGATGGTGAATTGGTGCACCTGAAGTGCTGCTCCAACAGCAAATACTGGAGGAGTTCGTCCGAAGGTCGGTGGTGGGTTAGCGGGTCGGCTGCGAAACCGAAGGAGAATTCGTCCGACTGGGCGTGCACGCTGTTCAAGCCTGTCTATGTCGACGGTGGCGGCGGCGATGGTACGTCGGTCCGGCTCCTGCACGTTCAGCTTGGACGGTATGCTTGCTTGTTCAGGAGCGATTCGGCGTTCGGTGGCTGCTTGTACGCGGCCTCTGACGATCCTAGTCCGGACATGGCTGATGTGTTTACATTCGTCGATTGGGAGTCGTTCGAATCCAATGAAGAAGAAGAAGACTATGATGGTGGAGATTCAGGGGAAGAAGAAGAAGAAAATGTTGCTCCGCCGAAACGACCACCGCCCTCCAGCAAAGGAAGCCATAGCAGCGGGAAGGGAACCGGGGAGGAGAAACCGAATAATCCTGGTGGCCAAACCGACAGAGAACAAAAATCGCGTCCTCCTCGTAGGACTCCCTCCGGTCCATTCGAACCCAAAGAAGATGACTCTGATGGTGGAGATTCAGAGGAAGAAGAAAATGTTGCTCCGCCGAAAAGACCAGCGCCTTCCAGCAAAGGAAGCCATAGCAGCGGGAAGGGAACCCGGGAGGAGAAACCGCCTAAGCCTGGCGGCCAAACTGACAGAGAACAAAAATCGCGTCCTCCTCGTGGGACTCAATCCGGTCGATTCGAACCCAAAGAAGAAGACTCTGATGGTGGAGATGCAGGGGAAGAAGAAAATGTTGCTCCGCCCAAAAGACCACCGCCCTCCAGCAAAGGAAGCCATAGCAGCGGGAAGGGAACCCGGGAGGAGAAACCGAGTAAGCCTGGTGGCGAGCGTGAGAGAGAACCGAAATCCGGTCCTCCTCGTGGGACTCCGTCCAATCGATTCGAACCGAAAGAAGAAAACTCTGATGGCGGAGATGCAGGGGAAGAAGAAAATGTTGATCCGCCAAAAAGACCAGCGCCTCCCAACAAAGGAAGCCAGAGCAACAAGAAGCGGTTCTCGGAGGAAAAACCGACCAAGCCTCGCCGCCAGCGCGAGAGAGAACAAAAAAAATCCGGCCCTCGTGGGGCTCGATCCGATCCGGTAGGCGATACAGAGGAGGGAGATCCCAAGGCCGTCTCAGACGGGGAAGATCGAGACGGTCCTACACCTCAAGAGAGGAGACGAGAAGACAAAGAAGTTCGCGGTGAATATGGATCGGATGGAGAGGATGGCAGGAGCAATCCGAACAGACAAAAGTGGAAAGAAGGTTCAGAGGCAGAGCAGAGGCAGGGGATTACCAAGGCGAAAGGGAGGTAATTAGTGTGTCACCCTGAAACAACTGAATAGAATCAATTTAATCTGATGGTATATGCTCTAACTGACTAACTCTTTTGCAGTTACGAAATGGAGTTTACCATGGTGCCTCCTGCAAATGAATTGTGGGGAGCTTTGTTTGCCTCCATGGAAACGATCCCCCCAGCTGTCCCCGATTGGTACTCTTCGATCAAAGAAGTTAAAGGCAATGGGTTCACTGAACACTCTATTCGTAAAATCGATTTCGTCAGAGGTAAACACGCTCGATGGATCGATCGCCATCGTTCGGTCATACAGAGTATTTATCTGTTTTGGTTTCGTTATTAAGTTGTTACTCATGTTTGTTAGTGTTGTGGTATATGATCCACGATTGAACCTCTCCCAACAACTCGAGTTATTGGGAGCAACGGGTTCTTGACATGGTATCAGAGCCTTCTGTGACCGAGAGGTCTTGTGTTCGATTCCCGGTGACCCCTATTTGTTAAGCACATGGTATTCTTGTCTTCAGACCTGTGCAAACTTCAAGCCCTTGTGAGTGGCTTTCGTTTGAGGGGGCGTGTTAGTGTTGTGGTATATGATCCACGATTGAACCTCTCCCAACAAATCGAGTTATTGGGAGCAACTGATTCTTGACAATGTTTGTTTTTCACAGGCAAGGTGACACAATGGGGAAATTGGGAGGAGCAGATCATGGCTGTGAATCACAAGAAGAAGCAGTTGAAGTTGTCCGTCGTTCGCGGCGGACCCCTGAATCAATGTCGTACCTTCAAGATCACTACGGCCGTGAAACCCTTACTCGAAGAAGAGCCCATGTACAATGGCTGTGTGGTGAAATGGAAGTGTGAATATACGAACTCAAGGGACTTGAATCTTAAAGCCATGCACATACTGGTTCTCGCCACCTTCAGGAATCTGGAACTCGAACTCCTCTCGTCGGCTTCCAGACAACAACGTTGATTCCTACCAAGCACCTGGCTTTTATTCTTCCATTATGATTGTTCTGGAAATTTAAATATGTTTGTCCTTATTTTCTAAAATTCTGTCTGTGGTCTATGTGTGAAGGCTATAAAAATAAATAGATCCCTTGTTGTCTTTGAAGGGCTTGTTTGATACATGTGCATCTGAATGGTGTATTTACTGAATGCATTCGTTGTATACAATGTATTGTTTTTTGTGTCTCATAATTGAGTTATTAGTTTCTCGCCATTTTGTTGAAATTGTGTGTGTTCTTTTTTAATTATGTACCAACTTTCTTTTCATTACAAGTCTTATCAACTCAATGCATGGTTGGGTTATTAACAGTGTCCATGAAACCGTACCGTACCGGCGGTTCAACCACGAAATACCAGTATCGGAGGCTAAATCGATAGGCGGTATTTACCGATATAACGGTTGAACTACGGTTAAATCACGGTTTTACCATAAAATACCCTACCACTAACTTTCCCGATACAGTCTCCGGTACGGTTTCATGGACCATGGTTATTAAGCAATGGTAAATATTACTTTTCCTTTAAAATTTGACTTTTCTAGTTTACTACTAAACTAAAATCACAACCACCAAACATTAGAGTCGTTTGTTTTGTGGTTAAATGAAGAATTGCAGTAAGATTCAACGGAAAGAAGATTGCAGTAAGCTCCAGCATGTTTGGAAATCCCAACAGTTTCTGTCGGCTTAGGATAGGGTGAGTAACCCTTTGTTACTCACCCGTGAGTAACCACTTTAGGACCATAGATCTGGGCCGGACTGATCGTGTGACTGTGGTTGATGCGGTGATGGTCAGAGGCATTTTTGTCCGGTTTTTGAATTTTATTTCTTGTCTTTTTCTACTTTTCTAGCATTTATATTATTACTTTTACGGAAGAGAGAGAAACCAGACTTTTCTCTTCCTCCCTCTTTTCTCTTTCCCTTCCTCTCTTCATTCTCTCTTCCAAACTCCTTTTCCCAGATCTAGATATGTTCCTTTCTTTTGTTCTTTATTTTTTTCTTCAACAATTGACAAAGAAAAATTGCAGCATCATGCCTCAAAATCTGGTTACGCTCCAAATCCTTCTTTGCAGCTGCTTCTTCCTTATGTTCTTTCTTTTCTCGGCCTCAAAATAGATGACGTTCCATATTGACCAAGAGGGGACGGATCTATGTGAGTTAAGTTTGCATGTTTTATATTTTTAGTATTTGTTTGTGAATTTTCAATTCCGATCTTCCTCCTCTTTTTTTGTTGCATTTGGTGTTCTTGATTGCGGAGGAGAAATGAGAGGAAACAGAAGACGAGTTTTTTTTACTCTCCCTCCTTCTGTTTTTCTTCCTTTTAGGTAATATATATTGATATTACCACACTATATCATATGGTAATGTGTGATAACTAAATGTATCTTTATGGTCACGAGTTTTATCATGGTGGTAGTGGGTGGTAATCGACTCCAGTTCTGAGAAAAAAGAGTTAGAAGACAATGAAGTTGGAGAAGAAATTGAAGAGAGTCGTAATTGTATATATATACCGAGATTACCACACTATACCATATGCTAATGTGTATATACCATATGGTAATGTGTATATACCACACTATACCATATGGTAATTTGTATATACCATATGGTAATGTGTCTATACCATATGGTAATGTGTATATACCATATGGTAAAGTGTCTATACCATATGGTATTGTGTCTATACCATATGGTAAAGTGTGGTAACGAAATGTATTTTTATGGATATCGTGTTTTACTATGGTCGTAAAGGGTTGTAATTAGATTTATATTATTTTTGTATGGTTTTACCTTCTCATACCATGTGGTATTGTATGGTAATTACAATTAATTTGTGTTCATTCGATTAACCATGTTCTACTATGATGGTATTGTATGGTAGTTAGATTTACCATATATTGATGATACCACACTATACCATATGGTATTGGGTGGTAACGAATATATATTGATATTACCTCACTATACCATATGGTATTGGGTGGTAACGAAATATATATTGATATTACCACACTATACCATATGGTATTGGGTGGTAACGTAATATATATTGATGTGACAAATTTTTTCATACCATATGGTATGGTCAATGCCAGTCATTACCATATGGTATAGACTGGTAATAACTGACAAATTTTTTTATGTCTGAAAAATATCAAAGTGGATATCATTCTGAAGAGCAAATTAATCTGATCTAACTGTGCAAAAAAAATTAAATTCCGACTTAAAACGAGTGAGAAATCGTCCGTTAAAGATTAAGAGAAGGAAAATTAAAGGTTGTTTGAGGAGAGAGAAGACGCTGATGTGATCTGGTCCGCGTCAGCGCGTCAGAGACATCATTAAATAGGGGGTGCAATTTTACCTTAGTGCCCCCCCGTATTTTTTTTAAATAAAAAGAAAAAGCTGACATGTGGGGGCCAGGGGAAGGGGTTACTGATGGAATGGTTACTGAGGTGATCCGGACCCGTTTCTGTCACGCACTCACTGTACAAAAATAGACACTCGAAATCACATAAACTCCATACCACTCACTAACCACTGGTTCTTGACAAGTACACTACTTTCACAATCTCAAAATGCGTTGTGCTTAGTATTACTTAGATTGATAAGAAATTGTCCTCTAGTGATACCCCATTGATATTACACGAGTATAGAGAGAATGATCAATCATCTATACTAGCTAGGATGCTGGTCATCGAGAGACCATAACCAGGATGCCTAGTGGTAGGGGTGAAAGTTTGACCCGGAAGACTCACTAACCCGTCCCGTCCCTAAGGGTCGGGACTGGTCAGTTTGTCTACGGGATCAAATTAGGGACGGGTCATTTGTTGACCCTGTAAGGGTCGGGACGGGTAGGGACAACTTAGGGACGGGTTATGTTTTGACCCAGTGACCATTAGCAACAACAAATATCTCACACCACATTGGACATTTTTGTAAAGTCTTGAAAGTTTAGGTACTAACTTGTAAAAATTAAAAATTTGGGTACGTAATTTTACCAAAAATATTATGGACTTATTTGTTAAAAACAATTAGGTACTTAATTGTAAGAAGAAATAATTTTGGGTACCAAAACGTAATTTGTAAAAAAGTATTGTGTTGATTGGGGTCGACCCACTGGCCCGGCCCGTCCCGACCCGTCCCAACCCTTGAGGTCAGACACGGTTAAGAAGGAGATAGGGACGAGACGGGTCATTTATACATCTTGACCCTTCAGAGACGGGTCAGGCAGGGTTAGGAACGGGACAGGGACGTGACAGACAAATTTTCAGTCCTACCTAGTGGGAGCTTGCATATGCAACACCAATATTTCTCTGCTCTCTCAATCATACAATTGACGACACCAAAAGGTGGGAGAGAGCCATGTCTCTAGAGTGAACACAATAAAGAGAAGGAAAAAAACTTTGATTCTTCATGTTGTTCAATCGATTTGTATTGTAAGTAGCAATTTGTATTTGTAATATGTTTCTTGTATTGTAAATATTTATAATTGTACTGGTACTATTGTTTGTATATAATATCAGTATGATTTGTATACTTTTGAGATTAAAATTGGTAATTGTGTCTAATTAAGATTATGAGAGTTTACCTTGATTAGTTAATTGTGTCCAATTTGTAGATAAAAATTGGTTTATATGAAATTCAAATAATAATAGACAAATAACTAAAACTAAGGCAAATAATGTAAATTGTGTTTCATATCACAAATCTAATTCACCAAACTCCATCATGAAATTCAACAAACAAACATCAATTTTTCAAAATTCAACACAAGTTCAAAGTTTTTCAAACCCATATTATAAACGAAACCCATATTTGTCAAATCCAACAATGAAAGGACCTATAAAGGACTCTAGTTGGATAAAATCTAGGCTATGTCACCGTTGGGCACTAAAAATGAGGTATTCTTTTTTTAAGTAAACAATGCATTGACAACAAAATAGATAAGGTCCTCCCACCTACTGTTGGGAGGACATCCTCCCAGCGGAGAATATGATATTTGTGTAATGTCAATGATAATATAGTATACGATTTACAGGAATGCATATTCGTCCAACAAGAAAAATGTATTCTTATAATAGATAGTAGTATGAAATCAAGCATTAAAGAATATGAATTTTTGATAGGAAACTAACATGTAGCTGGTCGGAGCTTTTGAGCCAACCAAGGTTGGAGCTTTTTGAGCCAACCAAGGTTGGAGTCAGGTTTTGGGAAAATTCTTAGCTCCAACCTTGGTTGCCTCTTAGTCACTGACATGTTGGATGATTGGAGCTTCTTCTTCTCTATCCCTGTCAATCTCCATACCCAAAATCTTCTCAGTAGCTTCCAAATCTTTCATCTCAAACTCAGCACTGAGAAGCCCTTTTAACCTCTGGATATCAGACTTCAACCTCGCAGCTATGAGCATAGCATTCACATACAAACCCGGATAAATCATCGACATTCCTTCTATCTCCAACAACGGTAACCTTCAACATGGGGTTAAACATAGACTTCTCATCAAATATCACATTCCTGCTAAGTATAACTCTATACTTAGAAGGTGACCAAACTCGAAATCCTTTAACTCCATCTCCAAAACCAACAAACACACCCTTCTTTGTTCTTGGATTCAATTTACCCTCATCAACATGATACCATACCAAATCTCATAAGGATTTTTGCACTCGATACCTGTGTGAGGTCCATGGTTGATGAGGTAGCACGCCATGTTTACAGCTTCTTTCCCAGAATCTTCTCTCTATTCTAGCATTAGAGAGCATGCACCTTTCTCTCACCAGCAATGTCTGCTTCATTCTTTCTGCATCGCCATTCTGCTGTGGTGTGTCTCTAACAGTCCGATGACGGGCAATCCATTCATCCTTGCAGAATTCGTTGAACTCAGAACTCCAGACCATTGTCTGTTCGAAGTCCCTTGATCTTCTTTTCGGTCCGATTCTCCACCAAAGTCTTCCACTGCTTGAACTTCGTGAAGGCTTCACTTTTCTGCTTCATCATGAAAATCCAAGCAAACCTTGAGTTATCATCAATAATAGACAGAAAATACATGTTGTCTCCAATAAATTCAACTCGTGAAAGACCCCAACAGTCGGAGTGGAGGTAATCCAGTATCCCTTTCGTCCGGTGGATACCTTTCTTAGGAAACTTGTTGCAATGTAGCTTCCCAAACACACAATGGTCGCAGAATTCCAAATTATGCACCATGTGCCCGCAAAGAAGATCTCTTTTTGACAGAACTTGCATCCCCCGTTCACTCATATGATCCATTCTCATGTGCCAGAGAGTGGTCATATCTTCCTGATGAACCTGTGATGATGCAACTGCAGCAGAACCAGACAACACAGATCCTTATTATGCATACAAGGTCCCACGCTTCACGCCCTTCAGTACCTTCCTTGAACCTTTGTAGACATGCACGACTTCACCTCTTCCCTTGAAATTGAGAACCTTGCTGTCGAGAAGACTCAAGGAGATCAGGTTCTTCGTCATCTGTGTAATATGCCTGACTTCGTTCACAATGCAGAACGAACCATCATGTGTCAGAATCTTGGTAGACCCAATTCAAACCACCTTGCAGACAGTTCCATTCGCCATAACCACCATCTATATGCTTGTAGGTTAAGAAGCAGTCTTTATTCGGAGACATATGATATGAAGCTGCACTATCCAGATCCACACATTGCCACGATGTGCCTTCTCATTTACAGTCAAGGTGAGATCGTCTTTAGAACTGTTGTCCACTTCTGCCACGACAACAAAACCTTGGTTCTTTTGATGCCCTCTCTTTCAGGGACAGTTGTACTTCCAATGCTCCACTTCCTTACAAATGTGACAGGCATTGCTTGCCTGTGGTCGGGGACCCTTATAATTCAAGTTTTTGTTCGAATTCCCAGATTTCTTCTTCCCTTTCCACCTGTAACAGCCAACCCCAATGCTTCACCACTTGTATCAGATCTGGACGCCTTATGCCTGATCTCTCTCGTGTGAAGAGAAGATCGGAAATCTTCCAAGGACAAGCTAACTTTATCATTAATAAAAGAATCCACAAAATTCTCATACGAACTCGACAAAGAAACAAGCAGGATTAGGACAACATCTTCATCATCAACTTTCAAATCTATATTGCGTAAATCTAACAAAATAGAATTAAGTTGCTCCAGATGTTCCCTGAAAGGCGTACCTTCTTGCATCCTCAAGCTAAACAATCATTGCTTGAGATGCAGCTTGTTGGTTAGAGACTTGGTCATGTACAAACTCTCCAGCTTCAACCACAAGCTCGCGATAGTCTTCTCAGCAGCGATTTCAATGATGATGTCATCGGACAGCGATAACATGATGGTCGAGTGGCCCTTCTCCAGGGTATTCCACTCATCGATCGCTGCCTTCTGGTGTTTTCCAGACAGCGGCCCCCACAGCCCTTGCCGTTTCAATAAAGCCTGCATCTTGATCTGCCGTATACCGAAACTGTTCTTCCCCGTGAAACTCTCGATCTTCATGCTTACCTTCGTCATTCTTCAGAATTGAAACCCTAGTCTGATTTCCAGCCGGCGCTCTGATACCACTTGCCACGACTGTTTCTCGTGGACCGGGAAATCGGAGGATTCGACAAAGCAAGAAATAACGAAAACAGAAAGCACACGACACACGATTTACGTGGTTCACTAACATAATGTGTGTTAGCTAGTCCACGGGTAGGAGAAAACCAGTTTCACTATACTTCAAGGAGATATAAATTATAGAGGGTATGAGGCTGTGACCAATGGGCACCCCATAAATGGGGGAATCTCCAAAAATAGAGGAGTGATAGCTGGGAACGGATCAGGTCAGTAACCATGAGTAACCCGTTAACATCAGCATGACATCACTATTCCTCTCTCTCTCTCTCCTGAAAAATCTTTTATCTTTTACACTTTAATTTTTAACGAGCGATTTCTCTCTCGTTTTAAGTTGAAATTTAAATTTTTTTGCACAGATAAATCATATTAAATGTTCTCTTTAAAATGATATTCTCTTTGATATATTTTTAGTACAAAAAAAATTGAATAATTTTTTACCAGTCATTACCATATGGTATGCTCATATTTAATACCATATGGTAAGAAAAAGTACCATGATGGTATGAACATACCAATATGGTAAGAAGGTTGAATACATGATAGTAGGAGTATACTAACTGTCATTTACGAATTTTATCATTGTTTACCATAAGTTATCATCCACATACCATAGTGGTAAAGTATGGTAATTTTTGGTCCAATATTTTTTTCACCCAAAAATTTGTAGATCCAATAGATCATGATGAACTCGTTCCTTCTGAGCAAACGTTTTCAAAAACGACTTAAAAACGAAGAAGTTACCATATGGTACGTAGTTGGTAAAAAAAAGTTTCTCGAAATACATTGTAAATTGATCTCATTTTGTAGATCACAACGAATTCGTTCCATGTGTGCAAAAAAAATTAAAATCCAAGTTAGAACGAATAAGATAAGTGCCGATTATGAAAACTATGGAAAATAAAATGCTTTTAATTGACAACCCTTAGATCTGGATTTTTTGGACCCACTTAGATCCAAAGGTCCAGATTTAGTTACTCATAGGTCAGTAACCAATGGTTACTGACCCTATCCTAAGCCCCATTGCAGGGAGATGGGCGGCAAAATTGGGGGATCAGCAAATGAGACCCAAAAATGGGGGATGGAATGGCGAAAGCGCCGTTTTTGGTGGGAGGGAAGAGTGCTAGGTGGTGCGCCGCACAACGACTTTTTTTTGTTTAATTTGTTATTAAAGGATCATTAATTTAGGGGAAGGTGTTATGATTAATTAAGGAAATGAGATCCATAATATTCAAGTGTTGTGTGTAAACGCAAATTAGATCCATAATTTTTCGCCAAAAAAAATTCGGTCTCGATGTTTAAAAAAATTCAATCTGAAAAATTGTATTTGAAAATGATGACGAACTATACAAAAATTAACATGAACAAATTATATTAATGCTTAGATAAGTACATTTTTAAGTAAATGGAAAACTGGAAAAAATGTAGATCCCCAAATATGGAGAATCTAGCGTTGGAGCAAAAGAGGAAAAAATTTGGGGATTGGCATTGGACTTGGCCTGAGAAGTATTTATGCTACTTCTCCTAGGTCTAACCCTAATACCAATATGGTAAAAGAAAACGGTTACAGACCAGACCCAGAACCTGAACCCAAATCCTCCAATAATATATAGTAGATTTTTGTTTACTTTTCTCCATTTCAAATTTCCTACAACGAGAGTGAAAGTAAGAAGGACAATTTGGTCTTTACAGTTAATTAATTATTTCATAAAGATATCAATATCAGAATTTGAACCATGGTTTATTCCAACAAAGATAACAATCACAACCAATTACAATAAACAAATTTGTTGTATATTTTTTAATAAAAAACATACACGAATTTAAACTCTGAAAATCTGAGGTCTTTTCCATCATGATTATCAAGCCCACTAAGTCTATCGTATGTATTTTTCAATTTAAATATAAATTTTGTGATTTTTTTTTATCTTTGTTCTTATCTCTTTCTAACTTCCTCCGAAATTCCCTACATCGTGCTATACTTTGCGCCCCTTTCATTTTCCAGTACAATGTCGTCTTTGAAAATCAATCTTCTGGTATCTCTGGGCACTACGGTTTTATTGTTGGGGATCTAATCTGAGCAAGTAGAAGATTTCAACTCCGATATCAATCCATGAAGAATAGAATCGAGTTGCAGAAGGAGGATTAGAAATTGAATTTTGGTTGAAACATATGCCTCTTGAAATTGACAAAAAAGTGGTTAAAATTTTGGTTGTATGACAAAGAGTGGTGGCTATTGGATATTTAGGTTTATGGTTTTTGCAGCTATCAAAACCTATTTATATCTTAAAACGAGGAATCATTGAAGGAGGTCGATTCTTCATTCAACTTACTAGAACTTAAAGCAATTAGCGTGCTGTCGATAGTTTATTGCATGCTAATAATATTTAATTGTATTGCATGAGAAACTAAAATGAGAGGAGATAATTAATAGACATAAATTAATTATGATAGGCAGGCCCGCATGCACATATTAGAACATGGAAGCTGGAGCAAGCAGGACAATAAAAGGAAAAAGAAGAAGAAAAGGGAAAGATAAGACCGAGCAAGAGTGGTCCAGCCAGGCATATCATTATTGAGCACTGCACACTAACGTGCATATTTATAACATGAGAGGGATAAAAAATAAAGAGTAGACGAAAAATCAAGCGTCGTCGTGCATAGTGGATGGTGGATCTTTATTATGGGCGGGGGCCTAGAAGTAAGTGTCTAAACAGTTGAATTCCTGTTCGATAACATTCCAGAAGTACTCCAAACTGAAATTGCCTGGTGCCATAGCTGAAATCCATGTGTAGGTCAAAGTCCAGGTGATTGTGGAACCTTGAGAGTTGGGGCCAGCATTGGCGTTATACGGATCCACCTTTACGACCAAAGAGGCATCACGAAAGTGCCTGCCCACGAAGTTCCTATCATTTATAAAGGTGGATTCGACGGTTCGAGTGGCATGGTCGAACCTGGTAATCTGCTCGGTAGCCTGGCTGACCATAGGTCCTGTGGCTGCAACATACATATATACGAAGTCATGCAATATAATTAGTACATATTAATTACCAGTAAAACAGCTATATATTAATTAAAAAGATGAGTAATATGAACATATGATATTGTTTGCTCGGCTAGCTACGTACCGGGTCCAAAAGTGATTTCCCGAACCGAACCGGCAGTAACACCGTCTCGGTTGGTCACTCGGATGCCTGCAATCAGGTTAGGCATGGCGGACGGGTATACATATGTGGCACCAAAAATCGCTCCCCACAGATCGTTAGCGGACGCTGCCATCCGGCAAGTTTTGCTTAGAACAGGCATGTTGGCGCTCCTTGGCTTGGCTTAGGGAGGATAACTACTTAGCTTGAGGATCAAGATCAACAACGCTAGCAGCCTAGCACTGCTCTGTTGAGAGAATTGATCGAATAGAATGGATTGGATTGTGTTCCTTCACCCCATCATCGCTATATTTATACATACACACAAACTCATGACTTGAATTAATAATGCCACAAGTATACAGTATGCTAGTCATTGTTTAATCATTCACACCCCAGAACACAACAAACTGAAATTTTGATAAACACCTTCCGATTATCAATATTGTATATATATTTGATTGGCAATTTTGTTTTAATTCCTATTAGGTAAGGCCAGTTAAGCTGGTCATTGTTTAAATTCCAACCATTGACCTGACAAACAAAGACTTAATTTCTTTTTAATGAATTAATCATATTATTCCTCATGAAAATAAAAAAAAAACTGTTCTACCGAATCTCGTATTGGATTTTCAAAAGAACCTATATACGCTCATTTGGTGGTTGTACGACAGGAATTTTTATATTGGTATTTGAGATATACCGAATCTAGTATTAAATTTGACGACCGGGTCCAGGTCAACCCGCGGATTGACAACCTTGTACCATATATTGACCCGCCAAAACGATCACTTAAATATATATTAAACTCGATTCCTGATTGAACAAAACTCGTCCTCCATAGTTATTCAAGTATGCATCGAAATCATCCTAGATTGCATTTATTGAAGGATAAAATATATCAAATATAGGATTGATAATAACTATAATTTGAGAGTTCTCAATTCACCAATCTAATCCAATCCATCCACTTAAATATCCAACTATTTATATTCGTTTAAATCCAATCCATTTAATCCAAATCAAAATGATTTCTTAAAGGAAGCCACCAATTCCTTCTTTTCATTTGTTTGTATTGCATCCACTAGACCTCTCATGGCCTCCAATTGAGACTTCTAGTAGGTTTCATTTTCATTGGGTTATGTCTAATAGGTTGAAAAACTCCTTATTCTTCTCACATATGTTCCATTTATCCTCCATAGTTATTCAAGTATGCATCGAAATCATCCTAGATTGCATTCATTGAAGGATAAAATATATCAAATATAGGATTAATACTAACTATGATATGAGAGTTCTCAATTCACCAATCTAATCCAATCCATCCACTTAAATATCCAACTATTCATATTCGTTTAAATCCAATCCATTTAATCCAAATCCAAATGATTTGGTAGATTCATGGATATTTGGAAAATTAATGTTTATTACCTCCTTTTTTTGTATTTTACCATCTGCCAATTTATATGTCATTTGGATACACCAATACATTTGATCCCGTCTATAAATCCACCAATCATTTGATTTACAAATGATATCTGTTTTCAATATATTCCGAGAAAAATAAATTTTATACCACTGTACCACTCGTTACCACCATAGTATTTTCTTTGTAGCACATTCATTTTTATGCTAGTTGTTGTTGTATGATTAAACTAAGAACTACTATCACTTACGTACTACTAAACTTTATTATCATGTTATAAACACGTAATATATGTCTCAAATGTTTTTTGTACAAAATATGTGAAAGTGGATGTATTTTTGAAAAGCAAGACAAATTATATTTTACTATAAAAAAATTTAATTGGGTGAAAAATTGTTCATGGTCATCCACCACGTCTTTTGAGAGGGGAATATTATCTTTGATTTTTTTCCGACAAAAGATAATATTGTATTGATGAAAAAAATAAAATCGAACACATTACACCTTGGTATACAACCACGATAGAAAATCAAAAGTATGATACATAGTCGGCTACAACAAAAGGACATTTCTAACCACGAAATGGGCTACCATATTGCTATTTAAACCTAGAAATTGTGCATTAAGACCACTACTATTTGCCAACAAACAAAGAACTTCTTCAAGAACAAATCCAGAGTGATTATCATGTTTATTAGCCTTGTTTATCTTGTCATTAACCACCTTAGCATTCCTTTCAAACTAAAGCTACAAGAGCCAACAATCCAGACACCGGCCACTTGATGGCCTAGATCTTCTAGACGGCGTGATCCCAAACTGCTCTTGCCACAACGCAATCGAGAAAGATATGCTCCATCGTTTTTGATTCTGCCCAACATACCGGGCATCAAGGCAACACTTGCGCCTCTTTCTCTATCAGAGCTTTCGTGGTTGGTAGAATGGGATTAAAAATTTTCCAAAGAAAAATCTTTAGCTTTGGTGGGATTGGGATCTCCCAAATCCGAATCCAGCTTGATCTATCCATCCAACTTTACATCTGCCTCCACCTGCTTTTCCTATGATCAATTATGACATCTAGGTGATAGGCAGGTTAAACGGTGAACACTCCGTTACTGGTATCATGCCAGATTAGCAGGGCAGCGGGATTGCTTTGATTTCTCACATTGTTTTAGGTGGGAACAAGTGATTGAGCATCGCCTCATTCCATCTTCCTTCCCTTGGAATCATTAGATCTGCTACTGTTGGATCACTTTCGTTCAAAATCATGTGAGGGTAGCAAGAGGGAGCATGCGCCTGAAAAATAGATGTGTATCACGCTCAATTAGATTGTCACATTCATGCACTGATCGTGCGAGGATTAAGTAAGAATCATCTGCAAAAAATAGATGTGTATCATGCTGAGCCGTAGGGCCACCTTGAATCTCCCGCTTGTTTCTTTTCATCAATGGCTTTTCCGAATGAGAGCTGCACCCCTCCGTACAAATGAAAAAAATAGGGTGGATAAGGGGTCGCCTTGATTAATTCTCCTCATTGGTTGAAAAAAGCCCAGACCGGGTACCATTCATAAGGACTGAGAAATACGATGGCCCCAAGCATTCCATGATCCCCCTTATACATCTCTGATCAAAATCCATTTTATCTACAACCTCGAGCAAGAAGGGACACTCAACTGTATCGTAGGCCTTTTTCATATCAACCTTTAGAGCCATATAACCCTTCTTACCCTAAGTTTTAATTTTCATGTAGTGCTTCAATGATTTGGGGAGGAATTGGGCCAATTTTCCAAACATGATGTTGGCAATGATCTTATATATGAATTGTCATAAACTTATGTGACTCAACTGTCTCATATTCCCCATAGTGTCCACTTTGGGAATTAAAGTAAGCCAAATGTGGTTGAAGCTTCACAACATTCTCTCCATACAACAGAAGGAACAAATACCACAACCACCAACTCCCCGTAAATATCCCAAAAGGATGGGAAGAATTTGCCATAAACCCGTACGAACCAAGTGCTTGTATGGACCCAATTGAAAAACAGTTGATTTTATTGCCTATTAGATGGGACTGGTAATTTGAATCCATTCATTAATTTTTGTACCTATCCATAAGATCGTCCACAACAACAAAGTTTAATAGCTAATACCTTAGCAACACGCCATTATTCATTCGTCAAGCATAGATAGGTGCAGGTTGTAGCAAACAAGGGTTTGGTTATGTGGTAATATAACTGGTCTGAACATAGAGGTCTCGTGTTCGAATACATCAAGTAGCAAGTAATGCATACATCGATGCATGTTAATGGTACTGAAAGAAAGTTAGGGGAGATGAGATGTTTGTTGTTATGGAGACAAGAAAGTGGCTTGCTAGCTGATATTGCATGAAGATTGGAGTTTCAAGACTCTTCAGTAGATTACTTAACATGATTTATGTTTTTATTATGTTCCTTTAAATTCTTATGGTTTATTTAAACTCTTTGCAGATTTGGACTTCACTTATTAGAGGATGTTTAGAGTTTATTTTGGGAGGTTCACTTTGTTGCTATAGGATTTTGGTAATTAGTTTGGTGGGATTAGGAGATCCCAAATCCGAATCTAGCTTGATCAATCTATCCAACTGCCATCTGCATCACCTGCCTTGCCTATGATCAATCATGACATCTAGGTGATAGGCAGAATTAAAGATGAACACTCCGTTACTGGTATCATGCTAGATTAGTGAGCCATCAATATCTTGACGAGGCAGCAAGATTGCTTTGATTCTCGCATTGTTTCAGGTTGGAACAAGTGAATGAGCATCGCCTTATTCCATCTTCCTTCCCTTGGAATCATTAGATATGCTACTGTTGGATCACTTCCCTCCGGAATCACCTGAGGGTAGTAGCAAGGAGCGTGCGGAATACAACCTAGGAACCCAGTTGGAATGCGTAATGGATTTTGTAGAATCATCACTGGAGCAAGAGGAGATCATAAAGGATACTCTGACAACCTCATGAGGAATGCAAACGCGCTATAGCTGTGAGCAAGGACAATGGTTGTAAATACTTTCCTTTATAGACCTGAGCAGGGAGGGACTCGGGTTAATAAAGGATTCTCCATCCAATTTTAGCTAAAAGGGCCTGATTAAAATGCTAGAATCATCGAAAACACCGCCTCCAATCCTGCTTGCTCCGACAAAAATTTCGCCAAGACATACATCGAATGTTGGACCTACGTCCCTCAACCCCCACCAAAATCTTGTTACATGTTTTAGCCAAATGCGACATAGGGAGAGTGGGAGCTTGAAGAACTGTATTACATGGATGGGAAAGGAGGACGTTACTAACTTGATCAATGTCTCCTTTAATGCCCATGAATATGTCCTTTGTTTCCATCCCTGCAACCATTGTAGTAATTTCACCTTTCAGAAAAAGAAAGTGTTTCCATTTTTACTGAGCGATCAAAGTAGGGAGGGTCAAGTATCAATCATGAACCCCCACCGCCCTACACACAGGATTAGGGCAAGAGTGTCGTGGTCTGGTTGCAAAATATTCATACTAAAACAGACTGCAGATTTGGGTAGGTTGACCCTTTGACCAAAAAAATCCTCGTACTCATTTAGGACCTCAATTAGATTCTCAAAGTCATGCTCTAATCCTTCGAGGAATAAGCAAGAATCATCCGTAAAAAATATATGCAAATTACGCGCAGCCCTGGGGCCACCTTGACTCTCCCACTAGTGTCTTCTCATCAATGGCTTTGTCGAATGAGAGTTGCAAACCCCTCTGCACAAACGAAAAATTGTAGGGGTATAAGAGGTCACTCAGTTATATTACAGGC